GTAATTTTGTTGTAAAGTTTTTTTAGGATTATCTTAAAAACTATTTTCATATCTAATTAGAAAATTTTAAACTCCAAAAATAGTTAAAATCAAGAAGATCTATAAACATATGAAAATCTAGAAACTAGACAGTCTAGATAATGTGTTGCAAGGTGCACTATTTTTTAGACTCAAAAACATTTTTTTTATAATATTCATACATCTCGATGTCGAGATGATCAATTAGAAGGTTTTTCAACATTAAAACTGCCTTTCTGATAGATTGTTGAGGTGCATATGTGATTCTACATTTTAAGGTTGCAACTCTATATAAACTTTTCCCTATATATATATATCTAGAAATTATCCTATAGGTCCCTCCCCCACCCATGTGTGTAGGACCCCAAAGGATCACCATTAAATTTGGCATAGATCTATAGAAAAATCAAGTCCCACACCCATGTGATAACTTTTCTAGAGATCCGTACCAACTTTAATTGTGATCCTTTAGAGTCTTATACACATGAGTGGGGGAGGGTCCTATAGGATCATTACTTATATATATACTATGAGACTATTTACTTTTGAGAAATGATCCTATAAGACCCTCTCCTACCCATATGTATAGGACCCAAAAGATCACCATTCAATTTGGCGTGGATATCTAAAAAAGTCAAGTCTGATACTCGTGTGATAACTTTTTTAGAGATTCGTACCAAATTTAATGGTGATCTTTTGGGGTCCTACACACATGGGTAAGGGAGGGTCCTATAGGATAATTACTCTTTACTTTTTGTACAAGGATATCACAATTACTTTTGGCTATTACATGTGAAATCCAATAGATAAAAGTGCGTCACAGCATTTAAGAAATTTTATTTTGGACTTTGTACCCAAATAATGACACAACCTCAACCATATGATTTCAAATCTAATGGTCGATGATTGTAACCTTCTTGTGTTAAAAATAAATGGTTATATATATATAACGATTAAGTTTTTATTGAAGGATAACCTAGTAACAAATAATGCATTAAGTTTTGATTGAAAATAAACCTGTAAATATTTCTGTGAGGTAGAAATTCTACTTCTATTGCAGACTCCTTGTCTTTGTTGAGCTCATAAAGGTCTTCATGGTTCTCCGGGAGTTGTAGCTTTCTGTTCCGAAGTGAAACCAGAAGTACCTTCAATAAAACCCAACACAGAAATTAAGTTTACTGTAAAATTTCCAAATTAAAAAAAAAAAATCCACAAACCCTCTGATATAAATCTCTATGAGGGGGTTGGTTTTATCAAAATACCTTACAATCAAATCTGAAGCTCAATAAACCACAGTACCTGGACAATCTCTATAAGTGGATTGGTTTTCTTGACAACTTGAATACGATAATTTGGTGTACCAGAAGCAAAAATGAAAACTGCCATGAGCATTGCAACTGCAGAAGCCCCAAAGCCCCAATCCCAACCTCTGTTTGTTTGAATCCACACTATAAATGTCAGACTCATTGCTCCACCGAGGCATACACTTAGCAGGAGCCAATTAAAAAAGCTCGACATTTGCTTTCGCTCTTCGGGATCTTTTTCGTCGAATTGATCCGCCCCATGAGATGGTAGGCCTGCTTTAATCCCAGCCGAACCCAGTCCTATCATGTATAGAGAAGAGAATAACATTGCAGCTTGGCCTTTGTTCATGTCTGAACAAGTAGAGTTTGGGACAAATATATTGCATGGTGCAGGCTTCAATTGTGGGGAATGAGCTTGAATTGTTAGTAAAATGAATCCCTGTTGGATAATAAATATATTATCAAAATTACTTGAATTATGCATGTATCAACACATACCCAAATAGAAATTTGCAGATTAGCATTCAGATATACACATACATGCATGCATACAAATAGTTTTAATATACGTCACCAACTATTGCACCTTATAATCCTACTAAAAAGGTTTATAATCCTACTTAAAAAAATTTGAGTAATTTACGTACATACTCTAAAATTTTAGGTAAATTACTAAATGCTCTATTTATATGTAGAAATTACAATAAAGGTCGGTCAACCCATGCTTTTTTTCTTTTTTTTTTTTCAAAACTGCCTCTCAATCAACCCAAATTTTGATTTTTTAAAGTTTTTTTAATGTATTTTTTTTTTTTTAGTTTTTTCATTAGTAGGTTAGTTCCTTAAAGCTCGTAGCAGTGGCTTACTAATGAAAAAACTAAAAATAAAAAATAAAAATTTGGGTTGACCAAGGGGCAATTTTGAAAAAAAAAAAAAGCAGCAGATTGATTGATCAACCTTCTTTGTAATTTTCACATATAAGTGGAATTTTGCATTTTACTTAATTTTAAGGTCCATTACGTAAATCACTCTAAAAATTTCTAAACAGCCAATGGAAAAATAAATTTTGCACATAGGATTTTCTTTCGTTGACCTCAAAATTTGTAGATGTCTTAGAATAATTAGATGAACATGAAATCGACGAAGTGGTCATAGGTAAATATCCTATACTCTCAAATCTAAAAGTGGGTTAGCTTGGGATGTGTCATTGATCATGCTCTCTAAGTTCACAAAAAATAAAATTTCTCTGACTTTGGGCAGACCCAATAATCTGTAGGAATTTATATCATTGCTTGAGATGTTTTTAACCTTTGTCTGTGCAATCTAGACTCCCTCACAGTATTTCCCTAAATGTATTGCCTTGAGCAAATATCAAGGTACAAAGGTATTCATATACGATGAGAGTTTGCTTTCATATAAGAAGGTTACAATCATCTCTAGCTATTACATTTGAACTTGCGCTCTAAGAACATGTCATATAATTAGCGAAAATATTTTTTGAAAATTATGCATATCAATAGAACACACCTAGCCATCCGATTTTATATTTGATAGCTAGGTGTGATTGTAACTTGTACCAAAGGTGGACAATCTTATCATATTTTCTCATTTTATAATTAGTATCAGATAGTACGTAGGAGATAAGGGATCAAATCTCAAGGGTACATTTTATATTTCTTCTTTTCCCATAGTAACTATTTTTGTGTATATAATTAATGAATTATACTTGCAAGCACCTATGAGTGAATTCCTATACTGCTTCACTCATGGCTCGTCACCATCTAAAGTTCATCAAACGACCATGATAATCTAATAATATTTATATTTTAATATTTTTAGAAATTAAATTTATTTGAAGTTAGGATTGTGTGCACATCTAACTATCTCGTACCTAAATAAAATATTAAAAATGATTAACAAAAATAAAATAACAAAAATATCACTGAAATATTCATAGGGATAATTACGTCATTTTTATTATTTTAACTATTTTATATTTTATTTAGATGCCTCTTACTAAAGCTCACACTCCCACAAAATTTGAGGCTAATTAGATTTATAAAGCAATTAGTAAAATCCAAATACTATCAAATGTGGTCATTTAATGAACTTTAGACGGTGATAAACTATGAGTGAAATACTGTAAAACTTCACTTATATATATTTTTAAATGTTTCTATAATTAGTTATGCTCATAATAAGTAACTATTTTTATGGTCCATAATTAATTACCCTATAAGCTGTCTGCACTTTACCACACCTTCAACATGTTATAGGTTTCAAACCTAGCCTTATGCCTGCTCGTGTTAATTCACAAATAGTGCTACCACCACGACTCCAATCCATTCTAAAAAAACGCATTAAAAATCTACTAACGATTTAAAAAAACAGACAGGGACTCGTCATCCCCGCCGAATCACCCAAAAACAACACAAAAAATAAAATAAAAATAAAATAAAATAATAATAATAAGAATAATAAGAATAATGAGAGTACTAGGGTGCGCTGTCAAGCCAGCAACTTAGACACACTGGACCCGATCCCAAGATCTAAGGGAATTGAAGGGATTAAATTTTGGATAATCTATAAAGCAATCTGGTTGTTGGGAGGCGGCAAATATTTATGAGGTAAGGCGTTATTAAATTTAAAATGTTGCATTAATGATTATAAACTTTAAAGAAAGTTGTCCTTTTCTTTAAGTTATTGAAAACTAAGGTGGCCAATAAGGTTTTAAAAATGGATACGTGACCGGGATCGCGCATCCAAATTTCTAATCTGGTTCAACAAATCGGCGATTCAGATCAGTGATACAATCTATCGAACTTGTCATTAAAAATTGAAAATATAATTAAAAAGAATTGGCTGCTTCGGTTAGAGAACTGGCCAGAACTGAACCTGTCATGGTTGAACCAATAGGTTCGTGATATTTCGCAGGAACCAGTTCGTCCTTGACAATTGCAGATCCAGATGGGCTAGTTCCAATCCAAATCGGGATCTTCTTTTCTTAAATGTCGGTGGCCAAAGTAGGTTTTCCTTTAACAGTTTTTCCATTTAGTGCTCTTCCTCTATAGAAACTTCAATCTTATTCCAAAAAGGCTTTTAAGAATGGAAAAAGGGATTGCCTTATTCTACTTCCTAACGCTGCAAGATTGGGAAATACTAGTGGCTTTTACGGAAATCCAATATTCAACTTTGGCTTTACCATTTAGCTCTCTTAGTTTTTAGAAATCCAAAATTTAAATACTCTTACGAAGTCACATTTTTTCTATATTACTTCAAGAAACTAAATAATTTCCATTATTTTTGTTTTTTTAAGCCATGTAATATTTCGAAAAAGCTAGAGACTAAGGTCTAAATGCGATCCGATGCTAAAAATATCGAACCGCTACCATCGGACTGCCTTAAACCTTCAGAAAAACTGAAGGTTTAAATGGGCAATTGATGATACCCAGCGGTTTGATGATTAAAAAATCAAACTGGGGAAATTTGTCAAAAAAATGAAATAAAATTTAGTGGACCCATCCTTGGCCTATTTTGAGCCCTTCTCATTACAACCGTTTAAAAAACAGGTACGAACGTAAATTTCTTTGTGGTGAGGCAAACAGATGTATTGCACACACATATACCTAGAGAGACGGAGAGAAAGCGAGAGATGAGAATTGCTTCGCATGCGCTCTTGGGGACATGCTAGACTTGACCATGACAATTGCACCACTGTGAGTGGGTTGGGTGGCCCCAACCTCAAGATTTGAGCAAGCAAATTTCACTCAGCCATGAGTGATTAGCAGCTGATTTTTCTATGTTTAGGAGCACCATATCTCAAGTTCGATTCTTACTACTGAACTACCAAAAAAAAAAAAAAATCACTACTGCTTGAAATGTCAGTCTAAATAGTATGAAAACTCCCAACTCCCTTCTAAAGAGATTGGATCGCATCCATCTAATATTCAAAACATCCTCCTAGATATAGGTTAAGGTTTCACTAAGGATGTTGTCTGTGTATTTGGATCTTCAGGTTTGGGAAGGCCATGGTACCTATGTTTTATATGTGTGTGCGTGTGCGTACGTACACAGCCTTAGAAACCTCTATGTTCCTCTTATCTTAGGACAAATATAATACTAACAAACAGGTGAATTTTAAGAGAACAAACCAGGAGTTCTATGCAGCCTGTTATGAGAACGGTCCTAAATCGGCCAACATAAGCATCAGCAATGCAAGCGACAAGCACAGAAAGAAGATAACCAGTCCCCATATAGTTCGTCACCGAATTTGCAGCCTCTGCCAAGCCAAAATGCATCACTGCATTGAAATAAGTCACCAAATTCACAGCAAGCGCTAAGGTGGCCAGATTCTCAAATGCAAAGCTTGCTGCCATAGAGGAAAACATATAAGTTAGTTTGAATGCTAGGTATAATGAGAGAGTGAGAGAGAGAGTGTATGTGTGTGAGGAGAGAGAGAGAGAGAGGCCACCTAGAATGAACATAGCAGGAGAGAATCCTCCATGCTTCTCCATTGCTGCTGGCCTGCCTTTCCAATCCACCTTACCTTCAACCTCTTCACTCATCTTGGTTGCAAGTCCTTGCTCCTTGACCTGCAACAAAATTTCACAACAAGCGGTTGTACCCGCAACCCTTTGATCAGCAAATAAAATTAAATTTTTTTTTTAACAAATAAAATTGGATATAATATTTCCTACCATAGATTTGTAAATATTAAACGATTAGCAAATATTACCATGGTTCGAACCCTAAGAAAGAGGTGATGGACTTGAATGATAACTCAAATCTAGAATGCTCATACACATATAAATAGATTGGAGGTTCTATGACAAAAAGAATCTAAACCTAAATTAAAAATTGGGGGTCTTGGAATCTTTGAGACCAAATCAACGATTAGTTAGCAAGAAGTATATGCCAAATGTGTAAAAAATACAACTTGGGTAATTTATCTCAATGTTTCTTATGACAGGTTATTAAGATGTCCATGAAATTATTCAATTGTCTAAAATAACCACATTTGATTCTAAAGTTTCCATTTTGGCCTTTGAATGCCATGAATTGTGCTCTTTTAGCTTCTAGGGTCTCTCTCATATAACAATGAAACCCGAGTGGAGAAGCTTGACACATTAAACTCCAAAGACCTGTTAGATAAAATATTTGAAAAAGTTTATTTAAAGCAAAGGCTTTATAATGAAAAATAAAGTTGCACCTCAAAATCGAGCTTAAAATGTATTTTTGATCTAGGAAAACGTTCAAATTGATCATCCCGGTCTAGACAACAAAGGATATGAAAAGATAAATAAATAAGTGTATGAAAAAATAAGTGTATCATGTAACATGTAACACATTATCTGAACCATTCATTTCACGTGTTTAAAAAATCATTAGATCTACAATATTTTGAAACATTTTGGAGCTTCAAATTTCATAATCAGGATTCGAAATAGATTTTCAGACCATCGTAAGAATTTCTGATGCCTTAGACTACATTTTATGTGGGCCTTTTGTGGTGTTGCTTTACTCTTTAACGTTTGGCGAACGTTTGCCCACTGCCTCCAGTGGTGATTGTTAAAGTAAACGAACAAAGAAGAGGACCTCGATGATCCCTCTCTTTACTATGGTTTTTTGTGGAAATTGTGCATTGTAGGAAACAGATGACCATTGTGGCCCTTTCTCATGGATATGAAGTTACTTTTGATAATTTGACTAATTGTGGGTGTTCTGGAAATTTTAAGAGTTATTTACGTATGGACACGAAACAAAAGGGAAAGTAGAAAAAGCTCTATTTTTTGATAAAAATTATGTGCAAGGTCGGTCAACACGCATTTTTTTTTTTTCGATTGCCTATTGGTCCGATGTTTCTAACATCAAACTGATTTTAAATGCCTTTTTGTTTAATTTTTTGTGAGGATGTAGTCAACTCAATGTTCTAAATATCGGACCACTAGCAAGGTTTAAGCAGTCAAAGGTTTAGGACCACAAAGGTTTAGGACTACGGACTGGTAGTTCTGTGCCCTATTGCCGCAAGATAGTGGTCTGAGATCTTAAACCTCAGACCGCTCACTGGACTAAGCGGTCTAAGGTCTTAAAACTCAGATACCTCACTAGACTAAGCGGTCCGAGGATTGGGTGAGAACAAATAAAGAAATACAATTTAAAATCAGTCCGATATTAGTAACATCGGAACCGAGGGGTATCTTTGAAAAAAAAAAAAGTGGTGTGAGTCCGCCGGGTTAATTTTTGCGAAAATTTGCATAAATAACTCAAAATTTTAATGTGGAAAGAGTTCAATGGGAAAAGAACGAAATTTCTTGTCCTACACATTGTGAATTATATTATGAGAGTAACAATCCTGGCGTCCCTTAGCTGCCTGCATGACCTTTCCTTTTGGAGTAAACTACTTGTTCATTGGCCTGATGTTTCATTTTAGCCTGTTTCTTTGTTGTTTGCAGGGGAAATGAGAGAATATACTTGCGGTAAAAGATTGGGTGATGGAAGAGGAAAAAGACGTAAAGAACTAATATTTCAGGGCCAGGAGATTTTCTAATAGAATTTGCACAGCTCTATATATGAGAGAGTGATAGTGAGAGAGAGATTGGATGACGTTTTAAATAACTGCTCAATTTCAAAACACTTTTTCTCACAAGAAAATTGGAGATCATTATGGAAGCCAAAGATATTCTAATCCTCTTTGATTCGCTCGAGTAAAAACCCATCTAGAATTAATTTTAGGATCTCAAATTTTGAATATGTAATCTCTTTAATTGAACTTTAGTATAAAAAATATCTTAATTGTACGCCATACGCACTTGAAAAAAATAATGTATTGAGATTGAAGGGAGACCATCCAATTTTTAAATGATGAGATCTAAGTGTTAAAAAAAATTCAGAATAATCAGTTAGTAATTCTTAAATGGTTCTCAAAATCTCATTGAATTAATCTTCTCAAATAAGTATGAAGGTAATAAAAGTAAACTATGCCCCAGAGGGAACATAGTATAATTGCTTGAATGAAACTATTCTAATGACTTCTCTGCACCACAATGAGCCAAAACTCTTTGGACTTGTAGGGCTGTCTCCCACTGTAACTACTTTTTAAGCCAGTCTCATAAAACTTATCTGTGTCTGTGTCCATGTAGCATTAGAAATAACTCAAAAAGATTCAAGAATGTCACTTTAGTGGCTCTTTCCGAGTTAACATTGGTGAAAAGTAACATGTGGTCACAATTGCTTATGATCATCCGACGTGAAATCTGTCAGTTTGGGTGTGTCATAAAGTTCAAAAAAAATTCCTTTAAAATTTAAGCTTAGTCAATGGAATAAATACAACCTCTTAATTTCTCATCTAATAGTCAAGATTAATTATGACCATGTTATATCAAAGATAACTAGTATCATTATATACTTTCCTAAAATACTAATGGTGGTAGGGTATCTCACATGTCAGCTCGTGCATGTTGTCGGTATGGACCCTGTTGATGGGGGTAATGACAAGTAGATTAAATTAATCAAAACAATAAAATTAGTAAACTTATTATTATTATTATCTCATGTTCCTTTCATTCAGTTTGTGAACAAATAAACAACGGGAAAGGCACACGGTACAACTTAATAAAAACAAAAAATATTAACAGATAAAATATTGAGAGCAAATAGAGTATAATTTTATATACACAACTGTAATCTTGGTGTGATTGGTATGCGGTGGAGGTAGATGCGAAAATATCGTATCGATTACTCATCATTGGATCAGGTTCATGGTAGAGATGTGGCAAAGACTTTTACGATCTTTTAATTTAACACAATACTCCACTAGGCCGGGTACTAGTAATAGCGGAATTGAAATAAGTATACGGTTAAGAATTTACCTAGTTTGGATCCAAAACCATTATTGCTAGAGTTGAGATAAACATGGGTTGAGAATTTACTTGGTTTGGATCCAAAATTCGAATTTTGAATCCTATTCAAATCCGGGTAGGATCTAAGATTTGGACCCAAAATTCGGATCCAGATCTAAACTTTCGATCCGAACTCCTATTTGGATAAAATATGGGTACAGGTGGATCCTATCGAGATCCGACTCGGTTAATAAAATAGTATATGTTATTATAAGGAAATGTAGAGGATGAGACAATTTACTTTTAGTACAAGAAGGTCACAACACCTATTGATCGTTAGATGTGAAATCGGGTGTTTGAGAATATGTCATTAACTAGGCACAATGTTAGAAACAAAATTTCTCGAATGTTGTGACACACTTCAATCCATTAAATATTACATCCAATGGCTAATATTGTGACCTTCTTGTGTAAAAAATACTAGTAATATACATGTGCATGGCACATGATGTTACATTTAACCATTGAAATAACTTTTTACGCTATAAAGATAAAAAGTAAGAATTTATTGTTCCATTATCACATATGGGTTCTATTAGATAAAAATTGTCTAAACATTTTTTCATACTAGGTTTAGGTTTTGGAAGCGCAAAAAAAGTAGAGACAGAAAATACAAAGAACTAAAAGAAAAATAAATAAATAGAGGAAAAAGAGACGATTTTTTTTCACATTTTCAAGTAGTTTGTTATCCATAAATAATTCTTTTCTGCTAATAAACTATGATTTCAACCATATTATTTATCTATCATAATTTGTATTTTTTAGCTATTTTTTATCCTTTTTTTTTTTCTATTTTCAATTATATTAAATAATACTAAAATTGAAATTACTTTTATTTATATTTAAAATATATTATTTACTTGTGAGAAAAATAAGGGGTAGGAGACGTTAAGAAGAGGAAACAACCCACCCACTCTTGGACTCATGACTGTGCGTGTCACAGGTGTTCGATCGGAAAAGGAAAATTACAGAAAGAGCTATATGCGTGAGGTGATGATGGGACGCTAGCCTTTGAGGTTGCCCAATAAAAGGCCTTACATCAGCTTGTACCGGCGTATGTAGCATGCGTAAGCCTGGACCAACCCCCACATGCACGCAACAACTTTCAGTGTGCAATACCATACACGCGCCCCAGACAACATTTAATCGTTTACGATGGTTGGGTTCTTTAATAGCACTATTTCTTCCCACATTGCTCATTCATGTGAGTTAAAAAACCACCCCGTCATGAATAAGAATGCTGGTTAACTTGGGATAAATTGTAGTGAGATGGTGTACACTATTTCTTCCCACATTGCTCATTCATGTGAGTTAAAAAACCACCCCGTCATGAATAAGAATGCTGGTTAACTTGGGATAAATTGCAGTGAGATGGTATACGTGCGATGGTGTACGCACGACAATATATGCCCTTCATGAATAAGAAGGTTGTACGTCCGATGGTGGCAATTAAATTAGATGATAAAAAAATAAATAAATTATTAAAAATAATAATTGGGTGCCCATCACCCTATCATTTATCAAAAAAATTTAAATTTACTTACCCAAAAAACATAAAAACTCTATTAAGCTATTATCTCATGGGATTAATTCATTATATGATTAATAATTAATTAGTTAGTTAATTAGGATTAAAAAATTAGTACTAGCTCATAGGATATTAAAAA